GGGGGGGGGGGGGGGGGCGGGGAGGACAGGTGCGTATCACCTGTGCCTCCTGAACGTGTGGGATCCTGGACGGATGTGTCTCTCAGTCCCACTGCCCGAAGGAGGCACCTTGGCCTCTAGGACCTAGTGTGCTGGGCTGCTGGTCGCCACTGCCCCCTTGACCTGCAGCCTTTGACTTTGGTTTAGGGACGCCTGGGGTTTTAAATGACCTGTTCGGTCTCTAAGGAGCAGTTCATTGTCTGAGCATCTCCTTAACTGGGAGAATTTCAGGGAATCGCCGCCCCATTGGCTCCTGGGGCAGCAAGGTGTGTGCCCAACCTGTGCACCTCTACCCACAGAGCCCGGGGCCTGGAGCTCCAGGGCGGGCTGCATCCCAGGAATACAATAGGAAGTTAGCCGTAAACAATTACAATTCCCAGGCTGTGGAAGCCCAGCATTTGGAACCTCCTGGGGTAAAATACTGTGCCGGACTTGGACTCAGACTCACCGTGGAATCACTGGGGTGATTCAGGGAAGTGGGTGGGGTAGGAGGAAGAGGCCTGGGAGGAGGTTGCCCAAGCCACGATTTCGACAAGTGGTAGCTCTGCAGCTCCACCAGAGTAAGGCGTGGCCCTCGCGGCTTGTCCCCTCGTTGCCCTCGAGAAGCGAGAAGCGAGAAGCGAGGAGCGGCCCCAAAGCCTCCCCTCCCCCCCCACCCCATCCTTCAGCTGCATTTGTTTCCTCTCCTTCCAAACCCTCTCCTAGCTCCTTACAGGCGGGCATCTGAGTATTGGGTCCCCTTGGTTTTGTCCTGTGTCTGATTAACTTGATTTTATAGTAACATCCTTTTCTGATTATAAAACTAATATGTGGCCTTCATAGACAATTTGGAAAAGATAGGACCCTATTTTATTTTTTGAATATATTTTTATTGATTTTAGAGAGGAAGGGAGAGGGAGAGAGAGATAGAAACATCCATGATGAGAGAGAATCATTGATTGGCTGCCTCCTGCACACCCCCTATTGGGAATCAAGCCCACAACCCAGGCATGTGCCCTTGACCGGAATCGAGGTGTGGCCACACCAGATGATCGGAATCAGAATCTTCAGGGGTGGGGCCCAGGCAAGGTGGGTGTTTTGTTTTCATCTCCCCTAGTGAAATGGATGGGTGGCGAGCTGAGATCTTACCACACCACTAGTACAGTGGAGTAAATTATCCTTTTCAAAGGGGCATCCACCTCTATTTCATTTGACCTGGGCTTGTATGTAACAGGGAGAGCAATAAGCAGCAGAACTAAACATGTAGTAGGAAAAACATCAAAACTCATAAATCGCCCTAACTGGTTTGGCTCAGTGAATAGAACGTCGGCCTGCGGACTGAAAGGTTCCAGGTTTGATTCCAGTCAAGGGCATATACCTCGGTTGCGGGCACATCCCCAGTAGGGAGTGTGCAGGAG